GACAGTGTGTACTCGCATTCCAAAGGCTTGTGGCATCTAACAAATTTCTGGCGTAGATCAAAGATGGTCACATGGGTCTGTGCATGACACCTGATACCACTCTCACTTTCATTCATGCCACCAACCATGATGTTACTTTGGACCGTACCTACTTCGCTGAAAAAATGTATTCTTCTTACTAGTTGAACTAGGAAGTGAAAAATATTAGCACCAAACCGATGAATACCAAACTCAAACCCAAATATGTTATCCATAAATCTATCAACACATGTCACTTGACTCTCCACTTTAACATGTTGTCTCAAATCCTCATTAGATCGCATTATATTGCCAACTTCTCTATGGCTAGCTTACCATCGAAGACAACTTTCATGTGTGTGTGTAGTTCTCACATAGGACACACAGGAATTCAACATCCTTAGGATCTGTGGCCTACCCATGATTATCCAACATATATATTTCAATTATGTATCACATTCAATATAAAATACCCCATTCCGGCAATAAATAATATATTACAACACTTAAAAAAGATATTTCAGCCATATACAACAAATCTCAACATGTCAAAGATATTGACACTTAAAACAGATTTTGGCAGTAAATATCTTATCTCAGCACTTACACATATTTCAATAATAAATATGAGATTCATCATTAAATAACATATTATATAAGTTGAAAATATATTTTAGTCTAACCTAAACATTTATGTATATACATTGGTGTAGTCCAAGTATTGTTGCTCTTCTACACCAACATGTCATCGATATCATTCCAGCGTGTCACACATAATCATCTCAACTGAGTAATTTATACCCACCTAACCCACCGCCTATGAAGATGATTGTGCACCAGGATGCTAGTCAATTGAAACCCAAAAATTCAGTCCAAGACTTTGCAGCATGGATAAAATGGGTCTCCTTGAATCTTGTATCAGTCCTAACAACATTTTCTACCATCTCAACAAGAGACCACATCATGAATGTGAACATATGAGGGGTCCAAATAAGCAAATTCTCGGTCTTCTTAGCGGTAGCTTGACCGTATTCAACCATTTACATCAAACATATATCACATCTTCATGTTTTCTACGACAAACGGCATATTTAAGCACTTAATAAGATATTCAAAAATAAAAAGATATAGAGTGCAAAACAATACATTTGAGCACCAAATATAAGAGTTTAGCACTGAGCAACTCGGTTCAGCAATAGAATAACATATGATAGCACCTGAAGGAAATATTTTGGCAATAAAATAGCAGATTTTATAACCAAATAAGCAAGTCGCAAGTTCTTCTAATGAAACTACAATACGAAGTTAGAACAAGATAATCAAATGTGTGCCAACGAAGACAATGCTTAGCCTCTAGGGAGGATATGCTCGAGGATGAATAGTAAAATAGTAAAATAAGAGTTTAAAATGCCAAAGATATGTCTTTTTCACACCATACATGTATGTATATTTTAGATTTTCATCTACATGCAAAGTTCCATCAATAAACGACATATGTCGTGTTATGAGAAAAACTAATGAGGCTATCTTGGAAGCATTTTTTCACAAGCCGCTATATTTATATTTTCTTCATGAAAATTTGTAGACACCCTAAATGACATGGACACTAAACTTGTCCATTCCGACTGTTCTCCATTTGGAAAATTGTTTATACACCCGCGAGCATATGCTCGTCGGAGTTGCTATGCATTTTCTTGTGCCAGCCCCCTCTCTCCCACACCAAATGTATCTATTTTGTCAACATTACAGCTCATAAAAATACCTCAAGAATAGCATCTTCAACTCTAATTCTCTTAAAAGTGATGGACATTATGAAGAATGGAAGGCACACTTTTGGGATAGTGGTGGCGATATATACAATGATTGTTTTTCTCTTTGTCACGAGTTTAGCAATGCAATCTGCAAACTAATGAGGCTATCATATGGATGCATTGCCTTTTTCACAAGTCGCTATATTTATATTTTCTTCATGAAAATTCATAGACCCCTATATGACATGGACACAACACTTGTCCATTCCGATTGTTCTCCATTTGGAAAATTGTTTATTACACCCGCGAGCATATCCTCATCAGACCTATTATGCATTTCCATGTGCTAGCCCCCCCCCCACCCCTCTCTCCCAGATCAAATGTATCCATTTTGTCAACATATTGCCCATAAAAATGCCTCAAAGAGCATCGCCGACTCTGATTTTTTGCATAAAAGTGATGGATGTTATGAAGAATGGAGGTCACACTTTTGGGCCGGTGGTGGCGATCTATACAATGATTGTTTTTCTCTTTGTCACGAGTTTAGCAATGTAATCTTTGACTTTTGCCCTCGTAAGAGCATCTACAGCCGGACATTTCAAATCCGGTCCCCCAAACGCCCACGGACGCGCCCGGATGCGTCCACGGGCACTGATAGGGCACGCCTCAAAATAGCCACTTTGCATCCGCCTCTCTCATATTTCATCCCCTAAATCCATACAAAACATGCAAAAGTAATCCTACGTACTACCCTAACTACTCTTCATCATCGGAGATGTCCACGACGACGGTGCCGGGCGCCGGCTGGACGGGCGGGTAGGAGGGCTCCGGCTCATCCTCTTCCTGCTCGACCTCATCCATGTAGGCGAACATCTCCGCCTCGTCTGTGGCCTCTTGCGCCTCCATCTCCTGCCGGCGACGGCGTCTTACCTCCGCAGTCGACTCCGACCTGAGGGAATCGAGGACAGCCTGCTGCTCCGCCTGCAGATCCCCGTCGCTAGTGTCCCCCACATCGTCCTCCTCCTCCAACTCCACTGCATCCGGAGGTAGCCCCGCGGCGATCCGGGCTTCGCGCCTTGCCCGGACTTGCTCAAGGAGCTCGAGTCGGCGCTCCAGCATCAGAAAGGGCTCGCTCCTCACCCGGCGGCGTGGGGGCATGGCTACTAGGTGGACGGGTGGACTGGAAAGTGGCGGCGGCGGACAGGAGGAGAAAAACGTGGATGGATGGTAGGGTTTCGGTGCTGCCGGTCGACTTAAATAGTCGGACAATGCACTACGCGGCCCGCCGGAGCTGCGCCACCGGTCCGACGGAGGAGACGAGCTTTGGACCACCGGGTTTGAGGGCATTTCCGGCCGGGTCCCTTTCGTCAGTCCGACGTGGCGGGCGTGCCTGGGCGCGCCCGGGTGCCCCCATATCCGCCCCATATTTGGGCTGAATATGGGAGGTGCAGGTCAACCCGGGCGTTTGAGGGCCGTCGGAGAGCCCCGTCTGGGTCAAAAAAAATCATGACCGAAAGGCATGCCTGGACGTTTGAGACGGGTTTGAGGGGTCCGGTTGTAGATGCTCTAAACTGTTCTAGTTAGTAAAGCGGAGAGCATCTTCCTAATGCTTGGCAAGAGGATCCTCCTAGTTTTCTGGTGGACGCATGTAATCACCAATGATGTAACTGCATTTCAAAATGAATAAAATCCGCCGCAATGGCTTTCATTCAAAAAGGAAAATAGAATGCCTCGAATCTTAATCATTTCTTCCTCCCTCATTAGTGGAAACAAAGAAATTGTACATGTTTATATATATATATATATATATATATATATATATATATATATATATATATATATAATCAATTTTAATTGTACGTTTGAGAGGGTTGATTTGCCAAGTTCAAGCGAGGTTCCAATGTGTTTGCTCCAAAATGATTCGAATGCGTTTTTCGCGAATCTCACGTTATCTGCAAAAAGAAATACGTACCTTGATCTAAAAATCAAATTTCAAAGCAATACTAATTTATTTATTTTGAACAGGCGGAGATATTTGTGTTCTTCCCACAAAAGTCTGCAGACACTCAAATCACATACACA